ATATGTTGTTTGTGTGGCGTTAATCTTTTTAATTTTTCTGTTTTGTACACACATAATATACAGACAATTCTTTTTTAAGCGTACAAGTACTTGAGCAGTTTCATTGTCATTAATCCTTATAGCGTATGATCGAAAAAAAAACGGCGTCCAGTTGACTGAGAAATGACGATCAATAACATTTCCCATATAAATTTACACATAAAATGACAGCAAATGACATCCAAATAATATATAAATACTTAAAAGTATACCTTGTAAGTAATTTTATATCGAGAAACTACGTTCGTTGAATTTGAAACTTTATGTCAGTTTAATAATATATTTTGTGACGTTTGAAAAAAAAACTATTTTTATTTGTGCAAGATGTTATAATTATATATTTCCCATATAAAATGACAGCGATCTTTATTTCATAGCCATCACTTACGCCGTTTTTTTTTTCAATCATACGGTAGTAGCCTCCCTCTAATAATTTGGTATTATAATTATTTGTAGTTGCACCATTTTTATAGTGAGCATGTTTAATTTATTTGTTATTTGAAACGATGCACGTATCATTTAAATGATAATCCTAAAATCAAATACTTTCAATTTAGGACAATTATTATACAGGGTGGCCCATCGAAAACGTTCCGCAAGGCATAACGGCCAGGGTAATTTTTTTTTTCTAAAAATTCAAAAACACGTCAATTTTGTTTGTGAGGGGGACAACTTTTGCCCCAAAAATGATTGCAAAATCTTCAACCCTCTAAGCGGGGGTGTCATCCCCCAACTTTTTTCAAATGGGAAGGGGGGTCAAGTGGTACCGCAATGAAAAGGGCTTTTTATTCTCTATACTTTCCCGCTTCGTTTTTGAAAATCGGTCATTGAGAAAATATGAAGGATTGAAATTTGAAAAGTTTATTTAAACATTTATCAGAGTAAATGATAAGGATAAATTCCTTCGACCAATTTGCTGTTTTTTCTTATTATTTCTAGATGTTTACGCATGTTTTCACTTGCCACAAGGTTGAACGATCAGGTGCGGCAGTTGCTAGATAGCTGTTCTGTGACTTGTGCGTTGAAGTTCTTCTCAATATCGTTAAACTTTTTAACAATAATTATGGTGTACTCACTTGCAGAAAAAGTGGAAATAATCGAACTTTATTTTAAAAATAATGAATGTAGCAATCGGGTTCCGCAGATATTCAATGAATGCCATCCTGAAAAACACCTTTATGGCAAAATTGTTCGCGAGTTAGCAGCAAAATTTCGCGAAACTGGTTCCGTTATGAATAAAAAGAGGCAGAGGGAAAACCCTGTAGTAAATGAAGCTATGGAGGTATTCGTATTGGGCCAAGTTGCCATGGATAGTACGCTGAGTACAAGAAAATTAACCAGTGAAACCGGCGTGAATCGTAGAACTGTCCAAAGGATACTAAAAAAAACACAAGTTCCACCCGTACAAAATTCAGTTGGTACAAGAACTCAACGAAGACGATTTTGATCGTCGCTTGCAATTTGGTTATGAGTGAACGAGTGGCGAATGATAATAATTTCCTATTTAATGTGTGTTTTTCGGATGAGTGTACTTTCTTATTGAACGGTGTAGTTAATCGGCATAACTGTCGGTACTGGGCTAAAGGGTTTTTCACGAGGTGCACACACAAAACCCTCAGAAATTGAACGTGTGGGCTGGTATTTTTGGAAATTCTATTTTAAGTCAGTTTAACGATATTGAGAAGAACTTCAACGCACAAGTCACAGAACAGCTATCTAGCAACTGCCACACTTGATCGTTCAACCTTGTGGCAAGTGAAAAAATGCCTAAACATCTAGAAATAATAAGAAAAAAACAGCAAATTGGTCGAAGGAATTTATCCTTATCATTTACTCTGATAAATGTTTAAATAAACTTTTCAAATTTCAATCCTTCATATTTTCTCAATGACTCGACCGATTTTCAAAAACGAAGCGGGAAAGTATAGAGAATAAAAAGCCCTTTTCATTGCGGTACCACTTGACCCCCTTCCCATTTGAAAAAAGTTGGGGGATGACACCCCCGCTTAGAGGGTTGAAGATTTTGCAATCATTTTTGGGGCAAAAGTTGTCCCCCTCATAAACAAAATTGACGTGTTTTTGGATTTTTTGAAAAAAAAAATATCCTGGCCGTTATGCCTTGCGGAACGTTTTCGATGGGCCACCCTGTATGATTTTATTAATACTATAGGTATAATATAAAAATTATTATTTTTATGATACCATCAAAGGTTGTTCTTTTCCCTAAGACTTCAACAATCAAAAAAATCAAATGTATCTACTTGATCTGGTTTTTAAGTACATACCTTTATTGCTAAAGATGTACGAGGCATGTTTTTTAAGTAAGTACCGTTTTGGAATTAAAAAAAACGTGCAAAAATATCGCAATAATTTTATTTTTACATGAAAGCCTGTACCTTAATCTACTTTTCTACATAATTTCCGTGAATATTGAGGCACTTGTCATAACGTGGCACCAGTTTTTCAATACCCTCCTCATAAAATTCTGCCGCCTGACTGGTTAACCACTGTATCACAACTGTTTTGACTTCGTTATCGTCTTGAAGACGCTGACCGCCCAGGTGTTTCTTCAAGTGCATCTTCAAGTGCAGGAATAAATGGTAGTCACTGGGCGCCAGATCAGGGCTGTATGGAGGATGATCTAGAGTTTCCCATTTAAAAGATTTGATGAGATCATATTTCTTCTTCTCACATATTTCTTTGGTCCGATTAGCCACATGTGGACGGGCATTGTCATGCAGCAAAACAATACCCTTACTCAACTTGCCACGTCTTTTGTTTTGGATTGCACGGCGCAGATTGTTCAATGTCTCACAATAAGATGCTGCATTGATTGTCTCATTACGAGGCAGAAACTCCACTAGCAATACTCCTTTTCTGTCCCAAAAAACTGTGCACATGATTTTCCGGGCAGAAATTGTTTGCTTAAACTTCACTGTTTTGGGTGATGATGAATGTCGCCATTCCATGGACTGTTGTTTCGATTCTGGTGTGACGTAGGCCACACATGTTTCGTCACCAGTAACAATTTTGTCTAAAAAATCTTCATCTTCATTGTGGTACTGCTCAAGGAAAGTCAACGTTGGGTTTTGTGCAAATCCGTCAACATTTTCGGAACCCAACGTGAACACAATTTCCGGTAATTCAAGTTCTCGGTCACAATGCGATACAAAACACTACTAGAACATTGAGGAAAGTAGTCGCACAATGATGAAATTGTAAAGCGTCTGTTTTCTTTCACCTTTTCGTCCACTTTCTGCACCAAATCTTCATTAACGACCGAAGGACGCCCACTCCGTTCTTCATCATGCACATTTGTGCGGCCATCTTTAAATGCTCTCACCCATTTCCTTACCATTCCATCACTCATAATGTTTTGTCCGTAAACTTCACAGATCTCACGATGAATATCGATCGGTTATACGCCTTTAGCACTAAGAAATCGTATGACAGCCCGTACTTCACAATCGGCGGGGCTCACGATTGTCGGAGGCATCTTAAACACTCAATAAACAACGTATACAATGAAGAATCAGACTGTACTGGCATCTGTGCATAGACAAGAGATGTAGGTAACCAGCGCGCATGCGCGGAACGCCGACCGTAGCGCTGCGGCGGCGGAATCGCAAAAGGGTACTTACTTAAAAAACATGCCTCGTATTTATTATTATTGTTTTATGAGAATTATTTTTATTAGTTTATAATATAAAATATATAAATAAAATCTAGTATATTAAGTACTAGTATATTTATAATTTCCCTTAATAGACATATACCGAGTGCGTCTCAAAAGTGGCTCACCCCTATAATTTTTTTTATTTTTTCAGTTAAAAAAACGAGATTTGGTATGTTAGTATATGACATAAATTAGGATTGATTGACGTATTCAATTGTTTTCGGTCACTTCCTGTTTCACCGGAAATGACTACAACTTTTGATTTTTAAATGGCACCCTCAGTATTTTTTTTACTTTATTCGAAAGAAAATAACACTCTGAATAGAATGACATATCATATGTCAACTTTTGACATATATGGTGTATTTGAAATTATAACTTGCGGTTCGTAACGAAAATTTGACTCGAAATACCAAGTGTGTGGTATCAAATTATTCGTAAAAAATGCTTTTTCCAAATATGCTAATGAGCCACCCTCTAATCGAAAAAATTGAGATATGATTAAAAATACGATTTGAGCATTTTCTAATTGGCCAGGACAAGACACTAAAAACATTAGACGATCAATTTTTTTTTCCAAAGCTCCTTGATTAAGACTTAGTGTTTTTAACATAGCCATGGCACTCTAGATTGAATTTTAAAATACAATTTTTTATTAAGCGAGAATGTCAAAAATTGACATATGATATGTCATTCTATTCAGAATGTCATTTTCTATCAAATATAGTAAAAAAAATACCGAGGGTGCCATTTAAAAATCAAAAGTTTTAGCCATTTCCGGTGAAAGAGGAATTGGCCGAAAACAATTGAATACGTCAATCAATCCTAATTTATGTCATAGACTAACATACCAAATCTCGTTTTTTTATCTGAAAAAATAAAAAAGTTATAGGGGGTGAGCCACTTTTGAGACGCACCCGGTATATAAGTCTAAAAGATAATGCGTTCAAATAAAATAGGTGAAAATTGTAAACAAAATAAGATTCTTCTAATTCGTTAGGTACCTTCAAAACAAATACAATGTAGTACAAAGTTTAATAGTCCAAAGGTGTTATGTATGTTATCAGGAAACCATTCGATTCGTTCTAGATAGCTGTTTATCAGGGTTTGACCCCCTAAATTCAAAAAAACGTATTTAAATGAACCTTGTTTACTACACAAACTCCAGACAAACGACAGTAATTATCTGAGACTGAATAAATTTGCGACAGAAGTATTTTCGTAACAGACATCACTAAAAGTGTGTTTATAATTTAGTAAAAAGTGCGATTCTGTGATATTTTAGATCGATTTCAACATGTCAAGAGCTATTTTGAAGCAAATTTCACAATGCAACACTTTGATACCATCTCAACATTCGGGTTGCATGGGATTATTGACCGTCATAGCTAATAGGAATGTGGATAACAGAAACTTCTCTGTAAGTATTTTTTATTTAGTCTAGATCCTTTATAGTTTAATAGTTTTAATAAAAATATACAGGGTGGTCCGAACTGTATTCCGGAAACTTCGGCAGCATATTCTGCAGATAAAAATAAGTAAAAAAGTTCGTATAAATGTATGTTCTAAAATGCTTAGTTTCGGAGATACAGGGTGTAGAAGTTTAATTTTTATTTCGAGATTTTTTCCGAATAATTTCTCTCTAGTCTGGTAGTTTTTTGACATGAGAAATTTGATTTTGATGTCAATATGACTCCTATTTGTAGGGGGCGCCATCTACATCTGTTCTAACTGTTTTGAAGAGTAATAACTTTTTCTCCGTACCTGTATAAACCTATAGAGTGAAAAAATATATGCACATTTCCGTGACTTTTTGCGTAAAAAACGTCTCTTGGTAAAAATCGCTATGAGCAACCGTTCTCAAGATATTTAGAATTAAAATAGTCAATACATGTCATTATTGACAAAAAAAATATATTTTTTTAAATTAATCATATTTTTTTCTAAGAAAAAATCATGATAAAACGTTTTCTGTTGAACTTTTGACAGAAAAATATTTCAAATTTATGATTTCAGTCTAATAACTATTTAATCAACATGTTTTATTTATGTCAATGATGATAGATATTGATAATTTTTCGATTCCAAATATCTCGAGAACCATGACACGTAGCGATTTGTACCAAGAGACGTTTTTTACGTAAAACATGTACTTCACAAATGTATATTTTTTTACTCGGTAGTTTTATACAGGTAAGGACGAAAAGTTATTACTCTTCAAAACAGTTAAAACGCATGTAGGTGGCTCCCGCTACAAATAGGAGTCATATTGATATCAAAATCAAATTTATCATATCAAAAAACTCCCAGACACCAATTTTTATCCAAATATTGACGTTACTTTATAAATTATTTGGAAAAAATCGAAATAAAAATGAAACTTTTACACCCTGTATCTCCGATACTAAGCATTTTAGAACATACATTCATAGGAACTTTTTTACTTATTTTTGTCTCTGAATATGCTCCCAAAGTTTCCGAAATACAGTTCGGACCACCCTCTATATTTATATTAAATTTATGTATGTAAATAATAACTGTTTAATTACAAATTCAATGTGAATAATTTGATCGGTTTAGTTCCACATCTACAACTTTCTCTTGTAAATGTAAAGGTACCTACAGTTACCTCAATTAGAAAATGAACTATGTTGATTTTAACAATTTGTCATAATATACCTATACCAAAGCCTGTACGTTGCATATTTGTATGTAATTTAATTTATTTCTCTTTAAGATCAACATTGCCAAGTCCAATTCTAGACAGAATTCTAGCAAAAAACTATACAGTCAAATAAGACACAAAAGTAGTGGAGGTGAGTTAAAGTCGCCCTTAGGACCATGTGCACCGATTCCCAACGAGAATCTTGTAGAGTATATCTACAAAAACATAGATGAATTCATCGAAGAGCCCGCAGCTGTAAGTAAATTTTATTTAGTTTTATTCAGTTTTTTATAATTTTAAAAAACAGACACACAAAGTCTGCATTATAATCCTAGATCATATATACTTACGTGGATAAGTAAATCACTATGGAAACTGTCGCAAACATATGAACGACTTCCCTTTATTCTCTTTTTTTGTTGCACATGTGGTGCTTCTTCTCTATCTATCCTTGTCGAGGACCTTTCGTCCACGCGCCAAATTTGAACATAAATTTAAAAATTTAATTTGTAAAATACATATATTTGAACAATAAATTGAATGTTTACTGTCACAAAAATTAAACTATATAAAAAATACATTTAGAATTTAGCCACTCCGAACGAATATCAATATTCTTAGGAAATCTAACCAGAAAGTATGCATGTGGTTTAATATAAATAAAAGAACAACTGAATACTTTACTTGCCTATGAAAAGATAATTCGGGGACCTTTATATTAGAACTTCCACACACCAAACACTTTATAGTCATTTTTACTCTTTATAGAGTATTTAGAAAGTCCAACGAAAAAAAATAGAAATATAATTGCACAAACTTAAAATTAACTTCTCACTGAACACACTTGCGTCCTTGGCTATATAAAAGCTGTGGATAAAAGAGTAATTAATACAATTTTTAAAATAAACACGCAAAAAACAAGCGTCGTTACACAATGGAAATAAGAATATGACAATATGATGACAATGAAAAGTTGGTTTTCATAACAATGTATAATTTGTTTTTTTTTATACTTTCTAAATCGTATAAAATTGTGATTCTTTTGGAAATGCGCATGCGTAAAGTAAGATTCTCGGAAAAGACAAACCTATTGAAAGTTTCATAAGTGCAATAAAGAAGGTTTGAAAATGGCATGACGTGATGTTGGAGACGTGATATTTTTTAATGCTAAACTTATGGCGTTGATTTATCCACGGAAGTATATATGATCTAGGATTATAATATATAATGAGATTAATGAGATACATTTACAGATGAATAATTAAAAAATAATCAAAATGTCCTAACGACTTTGATAAGGATATAACAAGTTTCGTATATGGATATACTATAAATATTTATATATTCCTTCTCTAATAATCTTAATAGACACTCATACAGTATATCACAATATGCAATTAGCACTCACATTAACTAAACTAACTGTGTGTATTAATATAGTTAAAAAATCACTAAATCAAACAATTTGCTTGATGGAGATAACAACACTTTATTTCTCTCTTTTCTCTGTTGCAATATTTAATTATAATATAATAAAAAATAATCTGTTATAGACAAAAAGCACAGTATCATTTTTTATTTTATTTTAGATTTGAAACCTTTTAAAGAACTCCTCAAATTGAAGCAAATTATTCAATTCAAATTTCGAATGATTTATACGAATTGGTTTTTGAGTTATAGTATGAGAGCTAGCAACGTCGGAAAAACAAGTATTTTAAGACGTCTGGCTCTTTGATATATCTTTTACTATGCTCTCTAGAACAGCATGCGGCCCGTCTGGCTGCCGGTAAACGTTGCGTTCCCTACTGCGCATTGAAAGAAGATCCTATATTTTTATTAGTCCTTTAAATTATAGTATTGAATATAAATCTGTATATCTGTATAAACATGTCTCCATAGCGCAGTGCGTAGAGTTTCCGACCACGAACCGACGATTCAGAGTTCGAATCCGGGTCAGGGCAAAGACTTTCTTATTTTATTTTCGTTTATATTCTGATAGTAATGTATGAAACATTTGTGTTTTTTTAAATTACCAAAATTATTTAAAACTTTACTATCAGAATATAAACGAAAATAAAATAAAAAAAGTCTTTACCCCGACCCGGATTCGAACTCTGAACTATCGGTTCGTGGTCGGAAACTCTACGCACTGCGCTATGGATTTATATTCAATACTAGAATTTATAGGACTAAATTAATAAAAAAATATAGGATCTTCTTCCGATGCGCAGTAGTGAACGCAAACGGGTATCGGCAGCCAGACGGGCCGCATGCTGTCCCAGAGAGCATAATAAAAGATATATCAAAAAGCCAGACGTCTTAAAATACTTTCTCGAAAACGTTGCTAGCTCTTAGATAGACTATTATGAAAGATAAAAAATACTAAATTAGTACCGTATGGTCGAATAAAAACGGCGTCAGCGATGGCTATGAAATGAAGATCGCTGTCATTTTATATGTAAAATTATATGGAAAATGTCATCGATCGTCATTTCCAAGCCAACTGGACGCCGTATTTTTCGATCATACGGTATTTACAAACAATAAACATAACAATCGCAAGTTATGTCATGGTTATGTCACAATATGACAAATCTATTATGATTTTTACCCCTCGTCAAATAATTCTTGGTGGTATCTTGGTGTTCGGAATCAAATGACTTAAAACTATGCTTCTTCAAATTCGCCAAGCAGTGGTACGATGTTTTTCGACCATTTCTCCGAGTAATAATTATGTTATACTGCATGTTTCAGACATGTGCAGTATCTGGAAGAAGTTACACATATGGTATGCTCAGAATGTTGATAAATAGATGCGCACAAGCCTTACTGGGACACTGCGGACTACAACAGGGAGAAGTAGTTGGGTTATTATTGCCCAATATACCCGAATTTGTAATTGTTTGCCATGGCGCAATAGAAGCAGGCTTAACCGTTACTTTTGTCAACCCGTTATATACACCAGGTAAAGAAAATAAGTCTATGCGTTGCTTAGGTATATTTATCACTTTTTAATAAACCTAGATAGGTATGTGCATTGTGCATACTCATTTCCTCAATGACTAAAGAATATAAGGACATGTAACGCCCATATACGGGCTGCAACAGAATTTGTGACCTTAGACGCCATTCTTTTGATGGCAAACAATGAGTCATCATCTGGTCACCAGCGACAATTTTAGCGATTTTATATAGTTTGTGTGTAGTGTAAATCCAACTTTGTATAAACTTTAAACAATGGTGATTAGTTGTTCAGCTTTCAAGTGTAAAAGCAGCAGCGATAAGAAAGTGCCAGGAGTTACGTTTCATAAGTAAATAAACAGTCCGCTCCACCTTTTTAGCGTTTTCTTAGTTTTCTTATTGAATTCGATAATTATTTTTCTGATATTATATATGTACTTGATGTGTGCTATACGTCGATAGTAGTTTTGTACCTTTTGTTAACATTTTAATACGTTTTTTTCGTAATTAATTAGTATGAGACTACCGGATACACCATAGGCGTAGTCAAAACATTTTTCAAAAAATATAAATATCTTTTCAAACAGCTAGGTTAAGAAAAATATGTGCCACGGCACTGTTTGGTGACAGCGTCACAATTTGCTCTCGGGTGTTATTTGTCCTTGGATTCTTTAGTCATTGCATTTCCTCATATTTTTTATTCTAAAATAAACAAAAGAAATATGTCTGTGTATTGTATTTATTTTGGATGGCAGACAATCAATGACTAAAAAATACAAGGACAAGTAATGTCCATGTACTGGCTGGAGCAGAATTTATGTTGCTGGACGCCATTTTTTTTAAGACAACGGATATGTGTCACCAGCTACAATTTTAGCGATTTTTAATAGTTTATTGTATGTAGTGAACTTTGTATAAACTTTATTACAAAGGTAATTAGTTGAGCTTTCAAATGTAAAAGCCGCAACGACAAGAAAGAGTCATGAATTACGTTTCATAGATAAATAAACAGTCCACTTCACCTTTTTAGCGTTTTCTTTGATAATTATTTTTCTAATATACAGGGTGGTCCGAACTGTATTCCGGAAACTTCGGCAGCATATTTTGCAGATAAAAATACGCAAAAAAGTTCGTATAAATGTATGTCCTAAAATGCTTCGTTTTAGCGATACAGGGTGTAGAAGTTTCGCTTTTATTTCGATTTTTTCTAAATAATTTCTGAATTAACGTCATATTTCCATGAAAATTGGTGTCTAGGGGTTTTTTGACATGAGAAATTTGATTTTGATGTCAATATGATTCCTACTGGTAGAGGGCGCCACCTACATGTGTTTTAACTGTTTTGAAGCTTAATAACTTTTTGTCCGTACCTGTATAAAACTTCCGAGGGAAAAAATATACATCTCTGTGACTTTTTACGTAAAAAATATTTCTTTGTAAAAATCGCTACGCGTAACCGTTCTCAAGATATTTAGAATGGAAATAGTCAATTCATGGCATTATTGACGAAAAATAAACACGTTGAGTAGATAGTTATTTGACTGAAATAATAAATTTGAGAAATTTTTATTTTTTTAAATTAATCATAAATTTTTCTGCAAAAAAATGTTGATAAAACAGTTTTTGTTAAACTTATGACACAAAAGCTTTCAAATTTATGATTTCAGTCTAATAACTATTTAGTCAACATGTTTAATTTATGTCAATGATGACAGGTATTGATAATTTCGATTCCAAATATCTCGAAAACCAATACTCATAGCTATATTTACCAAGAGACATTTTTTACGTAAAAAACGTCGTAAATGTATATTTTTTTACTCAGTAGTTTTATACAGGTACGGACAAAAATAACTCTTCATAACATTTAAAAAATATGTCGGTGACGCCCTCTACTAGTAGGAGTCATATTGACATCAAAATCAAATTTCTCATGTCAAAAAACTCCCAGACACCAATTTTCATCCAAATATTGACGTTACTGCAGAAATTATTTGGAAAAAAATGAAATCAAAATGAAATTTCTACACCCTCTATCTCCGAAACTAAGCATTTTAGGACATACATTTATACGAACTTTTTTACTTATTTTTATCTGCAGAATATGCTGCCAAAGTTTCCGGAATACAGTTCGGAGCACCCTGTATATGTCGATACTGGTTTTTTACCTTTTGTTAACATTTTAATACGTTTTTTTATTAATTAATTAGTATGACACACACCATAAGCGTAGTCAAAACATTTATCAAAAATATAAATGCTTCGTCAGGTAGCTAAGTTAAGAAAAATATGTGGCAGGGCACTGTTTAGAAGTATGGTAACGCGATTTGGTCTCGGCTGTTATTGCTTCTTGTATTCTTTAGTCATTGCAGACAATACATTTTCACCTTAATTAAAATGAGTATGGGGTTGTTAAAATGGGGACAACTGTCACTGTTTTCTATCCTCTCCTAGGACAGACTATATCAGTATTTTAAATTTAAAAAATAATATTAAGTCATAAGAATCTTCAACATTATATTATTTTATAGATGAAATCAAGAGACAATTTGAAAATGCTGGTGTAAAAATGATTATTACTATTCCATTACTCTTGGAAATTGCGACAACTATAGGACCAACTCTGTCAGGATATAGGTAAGATAATTCAGATTTGTAGAACTAATACTCAGTACACATTAATGACAAAAAATCAAATATTACATTTTGCTATTCTGTCGTGTTAAGAAAAATGCCTTAACTGCAAGTGAGATACATAACTTGTGTCATTAAAAAATTAAAGGTGCTTTCCAATGCATCAGATCAGAGGTTTTCCTTAATACAGCAATATTTAGTGTACATAGAAAATGAAAATATATTATGTACAAATAGGAGTCAGATTGACATCAAAATCAAATTTCTCATATCAAAAAACTCCCAGACGCTAATTTTCATCCAAATATTGACGTTACTTCAGAAATGAATTGGAAAAAATCGAAATAAAAATGAAACTTCTACATCCTGTATCTCCAAAACTAGGCATTTTACGACATAAATTTCTACGAACTTTTTTACTTATTTTTATCGGCAGAATATGCTGCCGAAGTTTCCGGAATAGCGGACCACCCTCTATATTAAAAATTTCTGGTTGATGTACATTTTTTTAGTCATACGTTTGAATATAAACGCACCGGCAAAAAAACCGGCCACTAAAAACTAGTCCCAATTTCAAAGTTGGATTTCTCGCGAACCACTCATTCGATTTTGATGATTTTTTTTATAAATTGTAAATTAATTCCTTTTTAACGGATGTTAAGTCAGAAATTTTTATTCCGAATTTATTTTGAGCATAAGCATAAGACGAAGTTTTTTGCCCGAACAACACCCGAAACACCCTGTAGGATGCAGCAGCGGAAGTAGCTATTGCTAAATTAAATCACATTGTAGCCTCATCTTTTGTAAGCATTTTGTTTTTTTAATCACCACATTATTATCTCTTTTTGTATTGGAGATATGCTGTTTTAAAACGAACGTCTCGGAAAAATGCTTCGCAGGCAGAAAGTTTTATCTCTAAATAATCAAGGCGACATAGACGAAAAGAGATTTATGAATATTTGCAATATGACAACAACGGTTGTCAAATTAAAAAAATGCCATTATCTGTGATGGATGTTGCTCGTATTGTGGCTTTAATTGAGGATGGCCGAAGTCAACGTTATGTGTCCGATACCCTGGGTATATCTCGAACAACAGTCCAGGATGCCTGGAATCGGTATATGGAAACGGGAAATTTCACCAGGCGAGTGGGTTCCGGAAGAAAACGGAAGACAAATGCAATTGACGACCGCTTTATTGTCCTGAATACTTTACGAAATCGTAGAATTACACCGTTTCAGAATCAACATCTGATCACAAGCCGTGCATGCGAACTCAAGTCAGTGAGAGAACAGTCCAGCGAAGACTAAAAGAAAACAGCTTGTCTGCAAGGAGACCTGCCACAGGACCCCAACTACTTCCGAGACATCGTCGAGCACGTCTTCAGTTTGCGCTTTTACATGTGAATTGGGATATTGAGTTATGGACTAAATCTTTTTTCGAGGCGTTTGGTTTTACAGCAGCGTATCTCCAATACAAACAGCGATAATGTCGTGATTAAAAAAACAAAATGCTCACAAAAGATGAGGCTACAATGTGATTTGATTTAGCAATAGCTACTACAGCTGCTGCACCCTACAGGGTGTTACAAAGTTCGGGCAAAAAACTTCGTCTTATTTTTGTGCCCTGTATATGCTTAAAATAACTTGGGAATAAAAATTTCTGACGTAGCATCCGTTAAGAAGGAATTAATTTACAATTTAAAAAAAATCATCAAAATCTAATGAGTGGTTCGCGAGAAATCCAACTTTGAATTTAGGACTAGTTTTTAGTGGCCGGTTTTTTTTTGCCGGTGAGATTTAAATTTACATATTTGTATAATTATTTTTCTAGATCTACAATTTGTATTGGTGGTGATGACGATCCCGCCAAAAACGTACATGGCCTAATGAGTCTTCTCTCGGAAGGTCATGAAGCTGAACTGCCTCCAATTCATCCAGACAAATTGGCGCTTCTACCATATTCCAGTGGCACAACCGGTCTTCCAAAGGGGGTAATGTTATCTCACAGAAACCTAGTTGCCAATTTAGTTCAAGGAGACCATAGGGCCCTCATAGGCAACACTGCTAGCAAGAGTAAGTTATCTCTTTTTGTTGTCTGCTTATTTATACTGTATTTATTTTTTTTTTAATTAGATGGAGAAAAACACAAAGCACTTACAGTTTTACCATTTTTCCATATCTATGGCTTTAATGGTATAATGAACATATCTCTAAGATTAGGAACCCATTTGATAACAATTCCAAGGTAGCAATGACTATAATTAGTATTAGCGATTTTTTATTCTATATTCTTGTAGATTTACCCCTGAAGACTACATCAAAGCTTTGGAAGAATATAAACCAACCTATCTGTTTGTAGTTCCTTCCCTGTTATTGTTTTTGGCTTCCCATCCTAGCGTGAAGAAAGAGCATCTGAGTTCTGTTGAAGAGATCACTTCGGGAGCTGCTCCTCTAACAGAGGGTTTGTTACAGAAATTTAGGCAAAAGATTGATAATCCAGATGTGACAATAAGGCAAGGTAAGGCATATCAATTATAACAGATACCAATTAAAAATATTTTACAATATTTAGTAATAAAGATACCATAGACGTTTAGTTACTATGGCTGTATTCCGTTGCAAAACCAGGCGAACCAGACCGGTAAAGTACGGTAAAGAGCGATTCCTGAAAAACATCGGTGTGATACGGAACGGTTTGGTAAAATACTGGGAACGTCAAATGTTGACGTTTTCTAAATTTCAATACCTCTATTATAAAATTTATCTTTTATGCATTTTTAATGTACCTATTCTCTGCTTTTACGTTTGCTTCTTCTTTTCAATTGAGTTTAATATCGAAAAATACTTTATTAATAAATTGTTAAACTTGTTAGACAGCTCAAGTGAAGATTTGCAGGTCCAATATTAAAATAGATCAATAATAAATAAATAAATCTAATCAATATTTATATTTTCATAGCTTACAAAACATTCACGATTACTTGTTGTCTTGTTGTTCATGTTTTCTTTAAATGTTTCTGACTTTAAGAAACAATGGCTGCATGATAAGTTTAAATGGTCCTAAAAAGTCATTCTATTTAGTTAACGAAATTTATTTACCTTTACTGCCTACCTCCATTGCTTTTGGATGTAAATACAAAATATTATTATAAATTTTAGAAATTAAATGAGAATTTCACTGGAATTTCCAATATTTGCTTGATTTCTGTCACATAAATGACATTGATTGACAAACAAAACCAGAAAAACCAGCCTTCTCGCGCTGGTTAGTTTGGTGACAGTTATAAACGAATTTTTCAGGACCCGTGTTCCGTAATAAGAAAACTTTCAGGAAACCGATACAAACGGGACATAAAACCATAACCAAAGTAAGCAACGGAATACAGTCTAAGTTTAAGAACTTCTTTGTTCCAGGTTATGGAATGACTGAATCCAGTCCAGTGACGTTCTTTATGCCCCAAATTACCCCTCCCTCGAAAATCGGCACCATTGGCATACTGTACCCCGGTACTGAAGCTAAAGTGGTCAGTTTGAGCAGTGGAGAACTACTTGGCACACATCAAACAGGAGAACTTCTAGTGAGAGGACCACAGGTAGCGTATACTATTTTTATGATTGTTTTGGGCTGTTGTAATTTGTAATATTATGTTTGTTAAAGGTTATGATGGGATACCTCAATAATGAACAAGCCACTTCAGAAACCATTGACGAGGATGGCTGGTTACATACAGGAGATGTTGTCTATTACGATGAAGATCATTATTTCTACTTAGTTGACAGATGCAAAGAACTTATCAAAGTTAAAGGCAACCAGGTAAGCATTTAAAATCATTAAAAATACAATAATGTGTATGTTCATTCACCCTTGTTATTGCCCTAAAAAATATTCAGGTAGGTAAGTACTAGCACTAGATCATATACCGGGTGTTGCATCGTCGTTGGGAACATAGGAAATCCCATGCAAAAATCGATTAAGTTTTTCTCAAATTACCTAAAATCGACTTGTCCAAAATTGTTCAAATTTGGCATGTGTGTTTACCAATTGTAGACCTTTAAAAAGTCTATTTACGACTTCGCTATAAAATCCATAGGGGAGCCAATATCTGGACAGTTCAAATTTTGCATGGGATTTCCTATGTTCCCAACGACGATGCAACACCCGGTATGCTTACGTGGATAAGTAAATCACTATGGAAACTGTCGCAAACATATCGACTTCCATTTATCTTCTTTTGTTGTTGCGCAAACTTAAAATTAACTTCTCACTAAACACACTTGCATCCTGGGCTATACAGGGTGTCCCAGGCTGAGCGTGCATTAGAAGTTTCTAGAAAACCACAATATTTAGATCGGAGATTTTTTGCACATCATAGTTTTACAACGAGATCTATCGATTAAAAATATTTTCAATATGGCGGCACTTCCGGATAGAAAGTATAAATAAGGAGATAAGAATGTATAAATAAGAAAGTTGCTGTCAACTTCCGGTATGACAGCAACTTTCTTATTTATACTTTCTTATCTTAGTTTTACTTTGTTTGTTAGTTTACCTTTGTCTACAAATTGAAAAATTTTTTGACAATAAAGGCATTTATTTATTTATTTATTTATTTATTTATTTTAAATGGGTGCCCCCACTTTTTATTACATACTTATATTCTCTGTAAAATTTTATGAATTTTGATATTAAACACTATATATCTAACATTAACCGTTTTTGAGAAAAAAATTAATTAAAACTTTTGGATGAAAAAAACTACCTGTCAAAAAAATGTCTATAGCCTAAAAGTCAGATTTAGTGATTACCAGAGCCACTGTGACATAAAGAGAAGACATGTAGCTATCTATTTCAAACATTAAATTGTTCAAATGTCATATAATAATGGCGGTAGCTGTCATGGAACTGAGCGATTAAAAAATTATCATAAATCATTTTTTTCAAATAGAAACCCACTTTTTTTATTGCACTAATGAAACAGTTTTTCAATTCGTTGCTTTTTAACTAAACAGTTCCTATACCTAAAATAAATCGTTTTTAAGTTATTTAAGATTGAGTTTAAACGATTTAATTTAGGTATAGAAACATGTATAGTTAATAAGTAACGAATTGAAAAGCTTTTTCACTAGTGAAATAAAAAAGTGGGTTTCCATTTGAAAAAAAAATTTATGAAAATTTTTTAATCGCTCAATTCTATGACAGCTCCGAGCTCCGGCCATTATTATATGACATTCGAACAATTTAATTTTTGAAATAGATAGCCACATGTTTTCTCTTTATGGCACAGTGGCTGTAGTAATCACTAAATTTGACGTTTAAGTTGTACACGTATTGTTGACAGGCAGTTTTTTTCGTTCAAAAATTTTAAATAATTTTTTTTCTCAAAAACGGTTTATGTTAGATATAGAGTGTTTAATATCAAAATTCATAAAACTTTACAGAGAATTTAAGTACATAATAAAAAATGGGGACACCCATTTAAAATAAGAAAGTTGCTGTCAACTTTCGGTATTTCCGGAAGTGTCGCCATATTGAAAATATTTTTAATCGATAGATCTCGTTGTGAAACTAGATGTGCAAAAAATCTCCGAGCTAGATGTTGTAGTTCTCTAAAAACTTATAATGCGCGCTCAGCCTGGGACACCTTGTATAAAAGCGGTCGATAAAAGTGATTAATTACACTTTTATCGACCGCTTTTTCCACAATTTTTAAAATAAAAAACGCAAAAAACAAGCGTCGTTACACAATGGATTATGATAAGACTATGATGACGATGAAAAATATGATACATCAGAAAAGAGAAACCTATTGAACGTTTCATAAGTGCAATAAAGAAGGTTTAAAAACGGCATGTCGTGATGTTGGAGACATATTTTTTAATCCTAAACTTTAAGAGTTTATTTATCTCCGTAAGTATGTATGATCTAGGCCAAAAACTCATGTTTGACAAATAATGATGACGTAACGGTCAACGATGGCTGAACATTCTGTATGTTTTAATTTACCATAAATACATATTAGAAAATTTGTATTTATGGACAATGACAACAAAAACCTTACAAAATAAAAAGAAACATCGAGTATCTCTGTACAGTTTGTAAAAAAAAACATTTGTCTACAGTGCTCAAGAAAAATATGTTTAAATTGCCGCCTGTATAAAAATATGTGAAAATATTACTTTTTTATGTTTACCGCGTATTTTTTTAAATAACTTTTGTTTGCCGATTCGCAATTATTCAAAACTCCTATAAAACTCTTAAAAATATAGAGAGATACAAAAAGATTTCATTTTCTATTTTAAATTATGTAGATTAATAGAGGTACCAGACAGTGATGCCAACTCGTGGGAAATTTCGAGATCCAGAGGGAAAAGGGAAATTTTAACCGAAAAGTGCATATTCGTGGGAAATTCTACAGTTCAAATTCAATTTCCGATAGTTGGTAACACTGCTACCAGACTATTCTGTAACGATTAAAAATTATTCAGTGTAGCGTAGCCGTTAAGGATTAAGTTAAAAAAATCTTTATCACAAAAATCTATTTTATTGGTAAATAAAGACAATAATTATGAAAAATACTATATAGTATGGTAATGTTTACATAGTATGGAATCTTATCTAGGTTATGAAATATCACTTACTAAGAAACACCTTACTTTGCTAAATATTGTTGATCACTCTAAAACAAAATGGTCAATACATTTGCTTTTGCAAGAAATTAAACTTAAAATAGGATTTAATTTTTCTAGTTTTTTCCTCCTTGTCGAAACCAATATAGACAATAAAATCAATTCCACAATTTATTTAAACCGAAAGAAATTAATCTACAGTATGTGAAGATTCGGCCTCTTCTAGCTGCATTGTTTCTGTTTCAATCAAACTTGCCTCAGTGTCCATGGACGTAGGTTTACTGTCTATTAGAGAAGAAACTTTCTCAACTTCAACCGGACAATGTTCAGTGGAATGCTCTGGACTTTTAGATTTTTCTTCCGATTCAGTATCAATGTGACTCGTACTGGCTTCACTTTCTGTATCAACTGGAGGTTTACAAATAGTAGAACTATCTGCCTCTAATTTGCTGTCTTCTTCTTTTACTGATGACTCAACCGGAATTAGATCAGCAACTTGTGAATCTAAAATCGCCTTGGCATCACTGGATGTTTCTGTAAATTTAGTCTCACAAGCTGTGGTCGAGTCAACTGTTCCCAAGCCATCCTCAACAAGGGATCCTGGTCTGTCGTCCATATCAATTTTTTCATGATTTTCTTGACTATTAGACACTTCATTCAAGTCACCTGACTGGTTTGGAATAACTTCAGAACATGTAATACTTGTTTCAGATATTTCTTTCTCATGTTGAATCTTTACATTTTCTTGTGGGGTGCTTTTCGATGTTTCACAACTGTCTGCATTACTACTGTCGCTGGGTGTAGCTTCGGCTGGTTGAATATCCATTTTAACACTGTATTCAGTCTCGTTTTCTTCATGCTGTAAAGAAAAGAAAATGGGTTATCAATGATTTAATAATTATTTCCTAACTTACACTCTCTTGATTAATCTCGGCTTCATCTTCTGTTTTTTCTCCAGTTTTTGACTCCTGTATTTCCGAAAGTTTTTCGACGTTAACACCGGTGATAGTTACAGAAACATCTTCAACAAAGCTTGGATTTTGATGCACGTTTTGTGGTGACAGAGGTCCAATTGAAACATATTGGACGCATACAACGTCTTGACTGGAAGTAGATGCTTCAGAAGTAACAGTAACTTGTTTGCTCGTATACGTTTCTCTAGAAGTGCTCATTACAAAATCGGGTACTGAGGTAGACAGTATGTTTGAGGGAAACACGGGAGCTTCGGCATTACAATCACCTTCGGCTGCAGGAAATGGAAGCATATTTGACGATTGCGAAGAATCGAGAGTATTTTTTGTGTCCTCCTCTCTGCTTGTGCTCATTACAAATGTAGGTTCTGAAAGTACATCCTTTGAAAGAGACGTATAGGCATAAGTATTGTTTAATTTCTCTCTAGAATCGTCTAGGTATATTTTGTCTACTTCTTGTTGAAACGGTAATTGATTATTTATTGCTTCTTCGTGGTAGTTAATATAAATATTTTTATCCATTTCTTCGACGTTAATTTCGCTAACGGGTTCGGGGACGTGGTCGTGGTCAGACTCGATCCCATTCATAATCCCCTCACCGTTCTCAGTTCTACGGCCGCCAGGTTCCATTGTACTCACAACCAATATGTTTTTCTCTAAAGCCCGCATATATTTATCGATTCTAGTATATTCCTTTCGGGGGCTCGTTAGTAACTCGCAAATTCTTTGCAGCGTAAAAGGAGCCGAAGAAAATGTGTCTAGTTTGTCTAAGATAAAACTTTTCATAAGATCATAATTAAATATATCTACATTTGGGCAAGGTGGGATCTCCATGGAAGCACAAGATTCGTAAAATTCGGTGATCACGTTGATTAGTTTTTCACGAAATAGACTTTTTATAGCGGGCCATTGGTAAATTGGGTCTCCCGTTTTCGCCACAAATTTCAGATATTCCTCTAACTCTCTGGGAATATCTTTTGATTTTAATTTAGCAAATTCCTCTAAGCTGTGCAAAATTTCTTCGGGATTTTCCATGATTTAGCCAAATTACAACAAATTTTCCACAAAACACTAAACAAACTCTAGCGTTGTCATCTGTTGGACTTTCAACTGTCAATTGTCACTTGTCAGTCACTTCTTCTTTTTAGATTCCTAAGCGTATGCTGCGCTGCCTACGAAAGTTGTTTCTAGAATTTATATATGATCCTTCTTTATATATGATTTAGTAGTTTTTTTTGAAGTAATAATATAGGACAGGGCCTTAATCAGGAATTTTTATTTTTCAGGTATCGCCAACAGAGCTGGAAAATTTAATTTTGGAAATTGAAGGGATTATTGATGCTGCAGTGGTCGGGGTACCTGACGATTTAGCCGGCGAAGTACCGAGAGCGTATGTTGTAACAAAACCGGGGCAAAATTTGAATGAAGAAGACATTCAAAAGTTTGTTAGTTCTAAAGTTACGCACTACAAGAAATTGGCCGGTGGAGTTAAATTTATCAATTCTATTCCAAGAAATCCAAGCGGAAAAATTCTCAGAAATGAATTAAAAATTCAACATTCATAATTTTTAAACTTTGTTTTTTTTGTTTAGTGCTGTTGTGCAGCATTGACAATGTGACTGGATAATCGGACATTACGTTAGATTTTGAAATTTTACTAGTCACAACATTTTTCTGATTGATCTTTAAGCAATAAGTTTTATTTATAGAATAGTTTAAAAGTTTTTCACATTAATTGACTATTTTTATAAAAAAAAAACAATAATTTTTGTTAGTTTTAAGGACAATTTTCTATATTTATAAATTTGTAGATAATAAGTACCTAATAGTAAATTATATATGTATATTTTTACAGCTTCTGAGGAAAAGGAGAAATACTATTTTAATGTTATATACCTTCGTATTTTATATATCCATAGTGTAAATAAAGAGCAGTTTTTATGTAATTTTTTTTAAATATAACTTGAAAAATTTATGTTTTGAATTTATTTCATTATTTTAGTTACATACTTTTATTTTTTTAATTAACATTTTTTCTCGATTTTAAAAAGTAGGGTACTAAAAATATTCTCTGTGGCCTTCTGGTGTCGATAAAATACATAATGGTTAAATCATTAGCGATCACATTTATCTATTAAGATTTTTAAATCCGAAAAAACTACTGTTTTATAAAGTGTAGTGGTAAAAAATTGTTCTATACATTTGTATTGCATTACTTGATTGAGATTGACATTTACACCTGATTTCAAACGCTAACTAACTACAAATCAATAGGGAAAAATGATCAAAAAGAAGGCGAAAAATTACCCTAATACGATAAAAAACTACCCTGACCCCTCCACACAATTCCACCTGGACCCGTCTAGCCCAGTCCGACCCTGCTTCTAGTCTGTAAATTTCTTCACAGTCATTCCAAATCATATAAATAAATTACAGAAATTGCAACGGTTGAAGACAGCAGTTCGGATTCCGCGTACACATAGTAGGATTAGCAACACAGTGCAGACCTTTGAATAGTGAGCAAGCTTGTTTCATATAGACTGTGCATATAGACGCGAATCCTCTGGCGCGAATCGCCAATTGCGATCTTGCGAAACTGCTCTCTTGGTCCAATTCATATGTCCAAAGAAGACTAAAAGGCCCGTATTTATAGTTGCATCTCGAGACGCCAAGACGGTCTTGGGCTCTCGAGAGCGGAATCCACAGAATACACAAGCAAACGTCATTTTGGAGATTGCGATTTTCAATTTGGAGATTGTCATTTTGGATAGTTTATGTGATCTGTGGATAGTTTCTTAACCTAACTTTTTTAGTAAACAAAATAAATCCCTTGTATATCCCTTGTAAATCCATGGTACAAAGAATACAAGGTATGATCGATAGCGGCTCCAATTTCGTTCAGTTCGCGCATACCACCTGTGACGTCACTATGAAAATAATGAATAAATAAAAAATAAAGAAAGTTGACAGGAGATCTGCATTGTGATCTGCATTTTTTGGGGTTATGGTTAAGAATTGTTTATTTTTAAGACTTTTTAGTTCATTTAATTTAATAATTACTAAAACTAGCAGTTCCAAAAATATATTTAAAAATAATAATTACCTATTAACATGGATTTGGTCGATAATAGCCTTAGGTAAGAATACTAAATTTATTTCTATATTCGGTATAAAATTGTTTATTAGGTTTTTAGTTTGCGATGTTTATGGTAAATAATTTTCATGTTCATTGCCTCTGAATTCACATGAGGACAGAGATGAGGTTATCTATGGAAAAGTAACCACAAGAGGAATTATTACATCATTTAAAAAATGTTGGGAAGTTTATTGTTTCCCATCGAAAAGTAGAAAATGCCAATGCAGATGAACGTATTGTAATTATGATAGAAGTAATTCCAAGGGTGAAGTTTATTGTAATTAGTGACCTGTGCTTCTTTTTATATGTAGATGTTTCAGGTTTTGAGAATAAATTGGTTGAACGACACCCAAAATTTAGAGGAAGTATTTGCATACCCAGAATATGCCCATCGAGGATTATATTATAGCTCAAATTTCCTTTAATGGTAGACAATTATTCAATGCAAATTAGCTTTTTAAGTGACTGAAATATTAAATAGTTTACAATATGGTATATCACTAAAAATATATTACTTTTAGGTACAATTAGGGCCCGATACATTTCAAAAAGTAGATTATTTTATATTAAATGAGGTATTGTACCAACAATCAATTTATATTAATAACGGAGATTAAAAAATAACAGAATAAATAGTTCTTTTTTTATACTACAAAAAAAACTATAGAATACAACAGTATTTAAAAAAATAAATAAAAAGTTATGTCCCGGCCGAGATTCGAACTCCGGTCTCTCGCTTTCTATCCCGACTCCTTACGCACTGCTCCACAGTAACTTGCTTAGTGATAATTCAATGACGGTATATAAACAAAAAAACAGATTTATAAGAATATCTTGACGATTTGAACTGGCGCGCGGAGCGTGCTGACCAATAGCGCCTGTCACAAAATAGAAATCAACCAGAAGGTTGACTCCCAAAATGCGCGCGAAACGGTGGCTAACCTAAAAATTCCTTTATGAGCGGGTAACACCTGTCAATGTAGCGGCGTTACCGGTTTAATCAGGGCAGGTCAGGGTTTAGTTGAATTCTAGCCATCGCATAATATGAATATATCACATAAATACGAATTTTAAAAGCGGAACAAATAAAAATAAATTATTAATAAGGAGAAATAAATAGATATTAAACAAATGCATAGATTGTTTTATTTTAAATACTGTATTAACCCATCTTAACACAATACTTATTACCTACCTACCTAATCATAATTTTATTATTATAATGAGCCCGATTTATCTGGGTAACATTTTTATTTTGATAATGTGTACTCAAAACGCAGAACGTGCCTCTAACAAATAAATTCAGGATAGTAAACTGTTACACTTTAGAGCGTATCTATAGCAACGCAATTCGCGTAATTTCCCAGACCATAAAAACTTCTAAGAAAGGTGTAGGGATGACCACGGATTTTTGCCAACCAGTAAAACGCAGCTCAAGGGTTCGAGTAGAAAAGTTGACCTTTAATTAATTGGTTTAGTTTTATTTTTTTAAATTCACGATCTCTACCCATTTCAAATTTTTGACTACGCATATATTATTATCTGCCTACCTACTAATTGCAAAAAAACCGCTGCATGAAAATTACATGTGGTGGTATTTATACAATACAAATTTTACCTTTCGAAATAACGTATTACGCTCAGTCTGTAATCACATACCTATCAGATAATAAAAATACTTATTCAATATAACCCTGACAACAGCCTGCGAAAGCGTTTTAATCCGGCCCTGAGAGTTACCCGCTGCCAATATGGCGTCGCGATTCGTGAAACGTCATCAAATTCGGCAGAGTCGGCGTTCTGGTTGATTTCTATTTTGTGGCGCCTGTTATCACCTGTGACGTAGCGACCAACCTGCGCAATATCATACCTTATATTCTTTGTACCATGTTGTAAATCCGTTTTGTCTGATTAAACAGTTTTGAATATGTTAGAAGAGTTTGAGGATATTTTGGACCATGTGGAAAAAGAAAATCGTCTTCGAGTTCCAAAAAGATATATACGGGATGCAGGAAATCCAATAGAAATGTTTAGCGAGGGGGGATTTATGCCGATATAGGTTTAACAAGGCTACAATTACAGAAACTATTTTACCTCTTATAAATTGAAGACTTGCAAAAACCTACCAATCGTGGTTTACCCATTCTCCCCGTTATTCAATTACTAATTTGTTTACGGTTTTATACGACTTGTAGTTTTCAGATATTAAATGGAGACATGCTTGGTATTAGCCAACCTACAATAAGCCAGATTATCAAGAGGGTGTCCATTTTAATAGCAGAACATTTGGGTGAATTTGTATGATGCAACCATAAATGGTTGAACAGCATTATTATTCCAATGATACTGCCTTCAGCTTGTGCAGATGATAACAACAAATGGGATACATATATTAAGAATATAGAAAGAGCTATAAATACATCTGTGAATAAATCCACTGGCGAAAAAAACTCCTGAATTATTATATGGATATATTCCGAAGATTGAAGATGGATAAGTGAGATTATTGACGGTAGAGAATGAAAAGTATTCAATTACCTGAAAAATTGAGAAAAGAGGTCAAAGAACATATAGAAATGGAACAAAGGAAGTATAAAAAAATTATGATAAACATATAGATTTAAAGGTATCACAAAGATAGGAGACATGGTCTATATGAAAAGTGCTACTAAATATAAGGGACTATTTACAGTGACACAAGTTCTACCCCATGACACAGAAAAACACATAAACAGAAGTATTTAGAAGAATATGTTTAATGTTTAATGAATACTACTTTTGGTTTATTTAGTTTTGAATAGTTTCATAAATTTTTAAAATCTTTAAATATCATAAATTTAGAATGAATATTTTTTTTATTGTTGTAGGTAATTTTTAAGTTAGTTTTGTTAATTAAGTCTTGGAGACTAAGACATAGTCAGGTTGGACGAGTGTCAGAGAATAAATTAAATTTATAAGTAAAGGCAAAAATTGTCAGTCACTGATTTACGTAGCAGACTAGAAAAAAAAGAATAGAGAAGAATGTCATCTAGACGAGAAGAAATAAGGAAGCAGTAAAAACGCAATAATCATAGAATGTGTATTGTGAAATATTATTCTAAATAAAACTATAAAACATGGAGTATCAACTTTATATAGAGTGGTCAACTCAATAAGAATACAGAATTTACACCAAGGAATAAAATCTTGAAAATTATAGGTATACGGTATACATCCAATATTGTATATTATGTGATATGATATTTATATAAATATTCATGATGAAGAAAATAAAAAGACAATTTTTTTAGTTTTAATGTATTAGTGGGAAAATTCTGTGTGACCAGTTAAAACAAGCACTTAACTGTCTGGTCATAGTGAGCGTAAAACTACTAAGAAATCATATGTTATTTAAGTATAGAAAAACAGTATTTTTATGATAACTAATAATAGACTATAAGAAATTACTTAAAATATGTTACATGTAAATATATAAACACTAACTTAACACTAATAGAAAAGTAAATAAAATTATTATATAGGTACTAGTTACCTTGGAACATTACTTAACATATTACATAATTACTAGATATACATATATTAATACAATAAATACATTAATTTGCAAAATGTTGAATAAGATTTCTTCAAAAATCTAACCCTCTTCCTTTTTATTTATAATTGGAATGTGTAAATTAGCATCTTCAAAATTATCTAAATTTTCCCTTAAACCAATATTATGAAGAACAGCTGTTGCACAAATAATAGCAACAGTTGTTTTGTAAACCTCGGAGAAATGGAAGACGTTTTTACCAAGTCCCAAATAGCCTTTCAACATTTCGCTTTCTTCTATGGGCAAA